CCGGAGCGCTCCCAAGGAAGAGGAAACTTCAGGGGCTCCTGCTGCCCAGTCCAGCCGGGCTGCTTCCATCTTTGGGGGGGCTAAGCCTGTGGATACAGCGGCTCGGGAGCGGGAAGTGGAGGAGCGGCTCCAGAAGGAACAGGAAAAACTCCAGCGGCAGCTGGAGGACGACAAGAGGATCGACAGACGGCCCCGGGAAAGGTGGGAATGGTGCCTTGGGAAAGAGGGAGTGGGATGGGGATGATCCCTTTAGAAGGTGGGAATGGTCCCTTGGGAAACCTGGGATGAGTAAGGAATGATCACTTGGTAGTGATGGGATGGGCAAAGAATAATCCCTCCCAAAAGGTGAGGGGGTAGGGAATGGTCTCTTGGAAAAGGAGGTATTGGCTAGGAATGATCCAGTGGCAAAGGTGGGAATGGGTAGGGAATGATCCCCATGGAGGAGTGGGATGGGATGGAAATGATCCCTCAGGAAATACGGGACTGATCCCCACAGGGAGATGGGAGGGACAGGGAATGGTCCCCATGGAAAAGCAGGATGGGTGGCAATGATCCCTTGGGAGTGGTTCAGGTGGGACGGTGTTCATCCTATGGGAAAGTGGGATGGGGCAACCCTTTCCCAGTCCCCTGATGCTATTTCTACCCTATCCCAGGCATCCAAGCTGGCGAAGCGAGGAGAACCAGGAGCGATCCCGGACAGGCAGCGAATCCTCCCAGAGCGGCCCCGCGGGACCCCCGGGAACGTCCACGGGCTCCGGCCCCACCGGCCGGAGTGAGTCAGGATCCGGGGCGGCCGGAGCGTCCGGCCCAGGGCGTCCAGCAGCTGCCACACGGATTTGTGTCCCCCCAGCCACACGGAGGAGGGAGAGCGAGAAATCCCTGGAAAATGAGCCCCTAGGAAAAGAGGAGGAGCCACCCTCACCGCCCCCCAAATCCCGGGAGGAGAAGCCAAAGGTGATGCCGGCGCCACCTCCGAAGGAAAACGCCTGGATGAAGCGGAGCAGCCAGAACCCCCCTGGCAATTCCCAGAGCTCTGACTCGGAGCAAACCTCCCCGACCAGGTGGGTGTCCCAGGAAGGAGTGGCCTGGGGGAGTTTCCATCCCAAACCATTCCATGGGTCCCTGCTTTTCCCTAGTGGAGGACCCCAAGGGCCGGGAGAAGGGGACCCTGACATTCCCAGGGATGATCCTGTAGTGCATCCCAACATTTCTGCTGCCCATCCCAACTTTCTAAGGCCCATTCCAACATCCCTGTATCACAGAGATGTTCCTGTGGCCCATCCACTGGCACATCCCAGCATTCCTGTGGCCCGGGGATGCTCCTGCCACACATCCCAATATTACCGTAGCCCATCCCAGTATTCTGTTGCCCATCCCAACACTCCTGCAGTCCATGGAGGCTCTTCTGCTCATCCCAACCTTCCTGTTCCCCCTCCCACCATTCTCAGGTGTGTTCCTGGGCTCCATCCCAGCATTCTTGTGCCCGATCCCGACTTTGCTGCGGCTCAAGGATGTTCCTGTGCCCCATCCTGACATTCCCAGGGCCCAGGGATATTCCAGTACCCCCATCCCAACATTCCCAGGAATTCCCTGTGGGCCCTTCTGTGCTCCACCCCAACATTCCCAGGCCCTATCCCAACATTCCCATGCCCTATCCCAACATTCCCATGCCCCATCCCACCATTCTTGGGAATGGGGCCATTCCAGGGTACCCCCCTGATGCCCCTCCCCCAATTTCTGTCTCCCCAGTGGGGGCCCCTCTGGCCCCTCCCCCCCTGGAGATGATGGGGGCCCCCCCAGGACCCCCCAGAGGAGAGGTGAGAATGGGAGAAGGGGATTTGGAAGGTTTGGGGTGGGTTTTGGGGATTTGAGGAAGTCTTGGGAGCACTTGGGGGGCTCAGAAGGTGTTTGGAGGATTTTGGGGGAGCTCAGGGGACTTCGGGGGGAGGTTGGTATCGGGATCTGGGAGGGTTGAGGGATTTTGTGGGGGGTTTTAAAGAGGGTTGGGGGGTTCCAGGGATGTTGAGGCCTTGCTGGGAGGCTCAGGGGGGCTTGGGGGGCTCAGGGGGTTTTGGGGGCTGTGACCCCCCCACCCTTTCCCAGCAGAGGAACTGAAGCCGGAGGGGGGTCGGGAGAGCAGCTCCAAGGGCCGGAGCTGCAGCCGTGGCCCCGCAGGAATGGGGGACCCTGAGAGGTGAGACCCCCCCCAGAACCCCCTCAGGAACCGGGAACACCCCCCGGGTGCCGGGAATTTCCCCAGGAATTGACCTCTGACCTCTGCTCCTCAGGAGGGACCCCCGGAAGGAGCACGAGCCAAAGAAACTGGAGGAGAACCCCCCCTCTGTAAGGATCATGGGGCAGCCAGAGCAGGGGGAGGGACCCCCCTCAAATCCCGGGTTTGGGGGGTTTTGGGGAATTTCACCATAACTGATGCCTCCAGTTAATGGGGGGCTGTGACCCCTCTTTGGGGTGAGTGAACCCCCAGGGGACTTTGACCCCTCAAATCTCATTTTTTTGGGGGTATTTTGGGAATTTTCTGCTTCACTGCCTCCCTCCCTCTGCCCACCCTCACAGTTCAGCCTTGGGCAGTCTGAAACCCCTTTGGCGGGGGGGCTGGGAACCCCCCTTTTTGGGGTGCATGACCCCTGGGGGTCTTCACCCCATTCAAATCTTGGTTTTTTGGAGGCTTGGGGATTTTTTTGTTTCAGCAATGACCCCCCTGGCCCTCCCATATGAACCACCCCAGCAGTTTTGGATTTCTCTGGCCCCTTTTGGGGGTGCTGTGACCCCCTGGTTTTGGGATGTGTGAGCCCCTGGGGATCTTTATCCCCCTCAAATCTCATTTTTGGGAATTTTCCCTGGTTTTCCCTGCAGTTCAGCCATGCCAGCAAATACGCCGCGCTCTCCATGGATGGGGAGGATGAAGGTGATGATGAAGAAGGAGCTGAGTAGAAGCTTCCTCCCCCTCCTCCTCCTCCTCCTCAGCTGCCGCGGGAACCTCCGGAGATTCCCAAAAATCCCAACCTTGATCCAGGCGAGACGGAAATAAAGCCTAAAACTCATCAATTCCCTCAGCTACAGCTTCTTAAATCCTGAAAAAAAAACCCCACCCTGAACGCACGGGAATCACCCCAAAATCAACACTGGGGGCAGGAGGGGTAATTCCAAGAGTTTTATCGAAAGAAAAGCCCCCCCTCCCCTCTGTGTTTAACATGGAATAAGGGGTGAGGAAGAGCTGGCCTTCCTCCCACCCCCTCCTCACTGGAGCCCCTCCAAAACAGGGATAGGGAGGCATCCAATCCCCCCCAAATCCTCCAGGGTCTGGGATCCCTCTCCACCCCCCCTTTTCCTCACCTCTGGAATGTTGCTTTCCCCCTAGACACCTTCATCATCCTCCTGCTCACAGGTGTCCCCCCAATTCCCCTGCCCAATTTTTGGGATGCAAACCCCGCCCTTTACACAGGAAAACCTGGATTTCCACCCCAGAGCCTCAAGATATTCCAAGATTTTGGGATTTGGGGTGGGCTGTAAAAATGTGTAAAAAGAACCTTCCCAGAGGTTTTGGGAGGTCCTGGGGGAGTTTTGGGGTCCCCAGGGGGTGTTTTGGGGTTCTCCCCCAGGTTGGGGGCTGTTTTGTTTTCTCCAATAAAATGAGCTGAAAAAGATCCAGAAAGGCCCCAAATCCTTGTGCCCTTTTCCTCCCCACCTTGAAGGGGAACGGGGCAGTTCCCAAAGCCCCCCGGGGGGAATTTCCTGTCCCGACATTGCCTTCCTCTCCCTGGGCTCCCTTTTTCCTTCCTGCGTCCTTCTCTTTCCTCATGCCATCTTTCCTCCTTCTTCATTCCTTCTTCCTTCCTGCCTTTCCTCCTCCTTCATCCTCCCTTCCATCCTCTTTTGCTCTTCCCCGCCTTCCTCTTCCTTGTTTCTTCCTCCTCTCCATCATTCCATCTCCTGCTTCACCTTTGCCTTTTCACTCATTTTCTTCCTCCTCTTCTCCTTCCTCCTTCCCTCTGTCCTTCCTCGCATTCTTCCTCCTTCCTCCTTTGCTTTCCTCCTCCTTCCATCTTCTTCCTCCTCATCCCTAATTCTTCATCCTCTTCCTCCTCCTTTTTCATTCTTCATCCTGATCCTTCCTTCTCTGCGTCCTTCCATTCCTCCTCCGCCCCCGCTGATTAACGGGAATTAATTGGGGGCGCGGGCACAGCACCGAGCCCAAGGATGCCGCCCCCCCCCTCCCCGCCCTTCCTCTTTCCCGGCTCTTCCCAACCGCTGGAATGCTGGAACCCGCCTCCCCCACCGCTGGAATGCGCGCCCCCCCCGCGGCGGCTCCGGCCCCACAAAGGGGGGTCTGTCCTGGCCGGGGGGAGGGGGGAGGACCCCAAGGGCCGGGAGAAGGGGACCCTGCCAAGCCCAGCCGGGAGGGGACCTGATCAGGCCCCTCAGTCCCCTCTGCACCTCAGCCCTCGAACCCAAATCCTCTTCCTGCACCCCAAAAAGCCCCTCCCCAATTCCCCTCCTGAACCCCCATTCCCTCCCTGCACCCCAACCCTCCCCCCTGCACAATAACGCGAACCCGGCCGTGCACCCCAAAACCCTCCTTGCACCCTAATTCCTCCTCCTCCCCCCCCCCCACAACCCCCACCAAAACCCCCTGTACCCCAATTCCTCTCCTTGAAACGAGCTTCCCCCCAGGAGCCCCCCAAGGAATCAACTTCCACAGGGCTCCAGCAGGACCCAGGCCAGCCGTCCCGGGGCTGTGTGGGGTCCCTCGAGCCCCTCCAAACCAACATCCCCCGCCCCGAGTCTGGGGGTCGCATGGGCTGAGGATCCCCTTTCCCACCGAATCTGGGGTCCCGTGGGGGGAGGGTCTCAGCCTCCACCTTCTCCTTGACATTGGGGGTCCCCATGGGGCGTGCCCAACCCCCCCTTTCCCCCCGAGTTTGGGGGTCCCGGGGGCCCGCGGGGCGGGTTAGCGGGGGGGCGGTGGGAGGAGGAGGAGGATGAAGAGGGGGCGGGGGCAGCGCCAGGAAGGTGCCGGGGGGAGCTCGGGAGGAATTTTGGGGGAGCCTGGAAGTGAGAAAGGGGGAAACTGAGGCAGCGTCAGCAGAGGGAGGTGTCACCCCGTGTGTCCCCGCGTGTCCCCCTGCGTCCCTCCCCCTGTCTCCCCTGTGATCCTCCCGGTGTCCGGTGTCCCCCCCGTGCCCGTGTCCCCCCGGTGTCCGCCCCGCGTGTCTCCTCTGTGTCCCCCGCGACTCCTCCTTGCCTCCCCTATGTCCCTGCCGGTGTCCCCTCCCCGTGGCCACACGTGTCGTCCCCGTGTCGTCCCCCCCGTGTCCCCCCCGTGTCCGTGTCCCCCCCCGGCACGGGAAGCGGCTCCGGGCTCGCGGAAACGGCCCCTCCCCGCGCGCCTTCGGCCACGGAGCCGCTCGCGGGACCCGCGGGGAGCCCCGAGACGCCCCCCGGGAGCGCCTGGGACCCCCCGAGGTCCCCGCGGAGCCCCCCCATGAAGCCCCCCGGGGCCGTGGGGACGCTGCTGCGCGCGCTCGGCCGCCGCGATGGCCCCGACACGGTAGGACCGGGGAAGGTCCCCGTGTGGGTGGGGGTCCCGCGTAGGGTGGGGACCCACCGTGGGGAAGGGGGGGCTGGCTGCGGGGGGAGAAGCGGGGGGACCCCTCCCGTGGCGTCCCCGCGGGGTTCCCGCTCCAGCCGCCCCCTCCCCACGCGTGACGCTGGGTGACCGGGGGGGGGAAGCCCACTCTG